CGCACAGGCGCCAGTTTTGAACTCTGTCACGCGTCGCCGTGTGAGGCGGCCTCGGGCTGTGGAGCAGTCCGTTCGCGATGCGTTTGAGCAGAAATGCATCGAAGAGGCCAGCGATGGCCACGCAAGGTGGCGCCCGTTGCGTGACACATGCGTGCTCACAGCCAGGTTTCCAGCCGACGAGGGCTGGAGAGGGGATTCACGGAAGGTGCGCTGCGTCGACGATTTCACGGCATCCCGTGTGAATGCGGCTGTGTCAGTGGGTGAAGCCATCCAGCACGACACGCTGGACCATTTCGTTGCCGTGGCGTGCAAGGTTGTCCGCGCGGGCGCTGGCGGAGCCGCGCTTCGCAAGGAGGATTTCGTAGGTGCGTTCAAGACCCTTCCCCTCGCGAGCTCCCACCTGCAATTTGCGGTGGTGACGTGGGGTTCGGCGGAGGCCCGCGGACTGGGCCTGCAGCTTCTCGCTTGTCCCTTCGGCGCTGTCGCGTCTGTGTACAATTGGGAACGCTTTGGCGCGGCCGTCCGGGCAATTTTGGCCAAGCAGTTCCATGTTGTTTTCCTCCGGTTCGTGGACGACCTTTTTGGGCTGGACGGAACCCTCGAGGGCGCGCCGCACTTGGCAACGCCAGCTGGGGCCAGCGCAGTTGCCGCAGAGGTGATATCTGAATTGCTAGGGTGGGAGCTCGACGCTTCCAAGCGCGTTTCGGCGTCAGCAGCGGCTCCGATCCTTGGAGTTGACTGCGCGGTCGAGCGCGAGGCCTGCGCTGTGCGATTGTCGGTTGGCCCTGATAAGCTCTCGCGATGGAAGCGCCAGATTCAGGACATTCTTGCGCGGCAGGCGATTTCCCCAGCAGAAGCCAAGAAGTTGGCCGGCAAACTCAGTTGGGGAACCTCAGCGGTTTTCGGCCGAGCAGCGCGTGTGCATTTGGCACCCCTGTTCCGCCACTCTACCGGGGAGTCTGGGCGTTGGACCGGGCGCCTGGAGCGGGCGCTTCAGTGGTGGCTGCGGTTTCTAGACTGCGTGCCGCAACGGCGCGCATTTTGTTTGCAGCCCACAGCCAGGACAAAGTGCATAGTTTACTCTGACGCCACTGGCGGTGGTGACCTCGCCTGGGTGGTTTGTGCGCCCAACGCGCGCGTCTGGTCCTCGGCACGAGTTTCCGGTGCTGTCTGGCGCTGGGTTTGCTATAGAAAAACACAAGTTGCCACCTGGGAGCTGTTGGCCGCGATTTGCGCGCTGCACTGGCTTCAAAACCAGGGCTTTGGCGAGCTGGAGGTTGTCTTGTTTGTAGATAACCAGACGGCGCTCGGCACTTTGCTCCGCGGGTCGTCGCGACAGCCAGACTGGAACGATCTCCTCGGGGATTTATGGCTGCGCGTCGCCAGGACGGGCACTCTTCTGTATGCGTTCTATGTGCCCAGCAATTTAAATCTCGCGGATGCGCCCACGAGGCAGCAGCACAAGGAAGCAGATTTGCAGCGGATGGTCGAGGCAGGTTTTTCGCGCGTGTCGTGGGAAGATCCTCCGGACGCCCCATGGCAGCGCTAGAGTAATACCTGGAGGGCTGTTTGCACTGGTCCGCTTCGGAAAATATGCGCCTGCTGCTCCTCTTGTCGGATTCCAGTGCAGTCATGTTGTCAGCATGCCATCCGTAGCGTTTGGCTCAGCGTGATGCTTCGTTTTCTCGATGAGAGTCGCGCGAGCGCTGCGGCCCAGCCGGGGCGGCAGCTTGCTGTGGGAGCTGGGAGCTCTGGTGAGGCGTCGCAGGAACTGGTCTTGCCAAATGTGCTCTTAAACCTGGTCAGACAGGCGGCGAGCGCACATCCTCCAGGGCGTGATATCGCAGCTCTTTGCTCGGATCTCGCAAGGGCTGGGGCCACAGATCCATTGGATTTTTGCGGGCTGGCATGTCAGGAGGCTCAGCGGGTTTGGCCGTCGCTGTCCTCGTGCTCGCCGCCATTTGTGGTACGGCTGGTAGAGCTGTGCGAGATGGAGTCTGCGCGTTCCGACGGCCGCCCTGCGTCGTCGCAGCCAGCCAGCCGCCGTGCCGAGCCACCGCCAGCTCCTGTCGTCCCAAATCACCCAGCCTTAGGTGCAGAGACCGAGCCTGCGGGCCACATCCAACGGGGGCAGGCAGCTTTGGCGCTGGTGGCGGAGGCCAAGAGTCGGTCAGAACTGTTGCCCCCGGCCGTGCTGGCGCAAGCCATCCGCGACATGAGCCGGTTGCCCGAAAGTCCGTTTGGGCAGTCCGATATTCCTCCGCGAGCGGCTTTGAAGAGAGCGCGGACAGACCAGGCAGCAATTTTTGATTTTCGAAAGCAGGCAACGTGGGTTGAATTTTGTGGGTGGAGAAGAAGTGCTCCGCAGTACGCGAGTGCGGTTCAGTTGTGGGGTGAAGCTGCTGCGCTTGCGAGAGAGCCCCCCTGGCCAGCGGGTCATTCATCCCTGTCGGTATTTGCAAGCCTATTCCGCAGCAGCGCATCTTTGGGACGGTACTTGTCTCATCTTCGTTCAGTGGTGGCTTTGCTGCGCTACCCTCTTGGGGAACTTGCTGACACGGTGAGAATTGTACGGGGAGCAGACAAGGCATTTGCATCGCATGTGCGTCCGAAGGTGTGGGCGTCAGCAGCCCAAACGAAACTGCTGGCAGAATGGGCTAACAACGCAGGGCGTTTTGATTTGGCCAGATCCTGGGTGGTCTCGCGCCATTTTTGCCTCAGGTATTCTGAAACATTGTCGCTGGGCTCAGAGCTCGCCCCTTTTCGCTTCAACGGCGAGGGCGGCGATGCAAGTGCGATCCTTACCTTCAGGAGGCGGAAGTGCTACAAAGTGCCTGTGGATGTCGTGCGGAAGTGCTTGTGTGCTGGGGGAAGGCGGCTGTCGTGCGGAGTGTGCGCGTTGCGCGAGGCAGCCGAGGCCGCTGGCGCTCCCTTCGCGCACATCACGTACCCGGAAGCACTGGCTTTTCTGAAGGCTGCAGCTGCGGCCCTGCAACTACCAGACGCGCAGCATTGGGGCACGCACGCTTTCAGGAGAGGCTTCGCAAACGACGCGTTGCGTGCTGGTGGCCCCTCGGCGTTGTTCTGGTCAGGGGGCTGGCGTGGCGTGGCGGCATTTGGGTACGCCACGGCCCAGTCTCGCGGGGAGCTGGCAGCAGCCGAGTGGCTTGCGGAGTTTTCCGAGTCCAGTGGGGCCGAAGGCCAGGGCGCTGCCTAGACCGCAAGGCGCCAGTGACCAGATCCGTTCGGATGCATTGGGCGCTGGAAAAGTACGTCCGAAGTGCATCGGTCCTTGTCGGCCTCGTCGGCAGATCCGCCGCCCTTGGCAGCCCCACTCTGGTTGCATTGGGCCATTGGAGAAGTCCAGATTGGGCCAACCTGGCGGCGCCTCTTGTCCCACGTGCCCAACGGTGGCGCGGGGGCGCCGACCATTAGCATTGCTCCGGGCGCGGTTCAACAGGATTTTCATCGCCCCAAAATCTCGCAGCGATTTGGGGGGCAGGAAAATCCTGGGAGCGGGCCCCCTTGGTGGCCTCTTCCCCTCGGGGCCTCTGCGGCTTTCAATGCTCGCTCTCACTGCTTGGCAGTGCCCTGGCGGCGCGGCGGACCTTTCTCACAGTCGGTGGCCGCTGGCCGGCGGATTTGGCGGTGCCACGCCCTGCCTCCTTCCGCTTGTCTTCCGCTTCTGTTGCTGGCGGCTGGTTGGTGATTGATTGGCAGGCTTCTCGTCCCAGACTGCCCCGCGGGCCCGGATAGCACCTGTGGCAGTTGCTGTTCGCTCTCGCCCTGGCGCCGGCTACCGTTCATACGCCTCAGCGCTGGCCACCCCATGGTTCGGCTGGTGTGTCGCTGGTGCTCTCGTCGCCACTCTGAGCCCTGCCCGTGCTCTCGTTGCCACGGGTTGGGGGTTGGCACTGCTCGGCATCGGCAGCCCAGGTGTGCTGCGCATCGCTTCTGCCCCAGGTGTGGCAGCGTTTTCGGGCCCAGGTGTGCTCGCTCGGCGTTGTACAGCCCAGGTGTGCTGTGCATCGTTTCTGCCCCAGGTGTGGCAGCAATTTCGGGCCCAGGTGTGCTCGCTCGCGTGGTGCAGCCCAGGTGTGCTGTGCATCGCTTCTGCCCCAGGTGTGGCAGCGATTTCGGGCCCAGGTGTGCTCGCTTGGCGTTGTGCGGCCCAGGTGTGCTGTGCATCGCTTCTGCCCCAGGTGTGGCAGCAATTCCGGGCCCAGGTGTGCTCGCTTGGCGTTGTCAGGCCCGGGCTGTTGTGCGTCGCTCTGCCCCAGGTGTGGCAACGGTTTCGGGCCCAGGTGTGCTCGTGTGGCGTTGTCCAGTCCAGGTGTGCTGTGCGTCGTTTCTGCCCCAGGTGTGGCTGCAGTTTCGAGCCCAGTCGTTCCTGCCCCGGGTGTGGCAGCGTGTGCAAGCCAGGTGTGCCGGGCCGTTGCAGCCAGTGCTGCTGCGTGTCGTCGTGCCCCTGGGGAGGCAGCGTTTTCGGGCCCAGGGGCGCTCGCTCGTTGCCAGCCCCGATGTGCTGCACATGGCTTCTGCCCCAGGTGTGGCAGTGCTTGGGGCCCAGGTGGGCTCTGTCGGGCCTGTGCCGGCCCGTCTGTGCCGCACGGGAGCCTCTTCGGGCTCAGGGGTGTTCTGTTGGGGGCTGTACCTGCCATCGTTTCTGGCCAGGTGCGCAGTTTCTGCGGGCCCACGTGGGCTCGGCCTGCGGTGTGCTACCCCTGGTGTGCTGCGCGGCACTTCTGCCCCAGGTGTGGCGGTGTCTTCGGGGCCAGGTCTGCCGTATCGGGCCAGCCCCAGTGGGCTGCGCATTGGCTGCGCCCCGGGTTGGCTGCTCAGCGCTCGTGCATTGAACGTGGAGACGTTTCGGACCCAGGCGTGTCCAGGGGGCAAGGCCCCGTTCCAGGCATGTATTGGCCGTTGTGCGCAGTCACTTGGGCTCAAGCTGCCTGCCGCTCAGTTTGCGCCCCCTACGCTGGCGTCTTCTGCCATCACTAATGGCTTTCGCGCACCAGGATGTGCTTGCCTTCGTTGCTGGGTTGCCCCAGGGTGCCCTGGGAGGCGCGGCGCAACAGGACATGGTGGAATGGTGCTCGTTCCTGCTCGACGTTGATCCGTCGCCGAAGGCGAAGCACGACCTCTTCTGGTACCTGTCCGTCGGGCGCCTGCTGGGGGAGACGATGGGCTCCATCTCTCCCCTGGACTTGGCCGAGCCTGCCATGCGGGACGTCATCAGCAGCACGATCAAACACGGCGAGAAGCCGTACGACAAGGATGGTGAGAGCCCCGTGTTCCGTGCGTGGGCAGTGCAGCCAGCCCAGATCGCCTTCGCACTCCGTGTTCAGAGGAAGTGCGGGGCCACAGAGCCGCCTCCTCCAACTCCCGAGGCCACCTTGGCTTCCACGATGCGCGAGTACTTGGAGGCCCAGGCGGCCACCCACAAGCGGTCAACCAAGGCGCTTTCTTTTAAGCTGTCTGAGCGGGTTGCTGAGCTTGGCATGGCCACCTTCCCGGAGGATCTGCTGCCATCGGAAGAGAACTTGGCTGTTTTCGAGGCGGCAGGCCGCGTCGCACGTGACAAAGGCCGCTTGTACATCGGCAGCGCAGAAGGCGAGGACCTGCAAAGGAACTTTCGCCCTTCATGGTCACGCGTGCCGGCCGTCGAGGTCCCCGTTGGGGACGGGTCGGTGCCCGACCGCCAGCGGCAGATGGCCGAGCTGAAGCGCGCTCGCGCCGCCACGGAGGTCGACTACCCCGGCTACGCCCAGCTTCCTGCTGGCCAAGGTGGCGGAGGAGCACGGCGGCGCCCGCACCGCGTACCAGTGCGACATCCTGGCGCGGAAAGCGATGGCCAAGGGCCTAGAGAAGGGCGACGCCGACTGGAAAGTGATGTTCTCCAGGATCGACCGGGACCTGGCCAAGGAGGCCAGGGACAAGGTGACGGCCAGAGCTTCTGATGCTGCGAAGTTCGCCCACACCAAGGGCAAGGGCAAGGGGAAAGCCGACGGCGCCGCTCAGAAGGGCGGTTCCGGTCACGGCTCTGCCGCCAGCTCGGCGGCGCAGTCCCCCAGGTCTCCGTTGGTGGCGCCGCGCTCGCGCAGCCCACGCAAGCAGCAGGGCGGCTGGCAGGGCGGCTGGCAGAGCCAGGACCGCGGCGCCAAAGCGTGGAAGAAGTGAGCGGCTTTCGTTAGCGGAAACAGCAGTGCTGCCAGCGATGGTTCGGCCACTTTTGTCGCCGGCGGTGCTGTTGGTGCGTCTCCGCTCCGTTCTGCCCCGCGGGGGGAGGTGGAGCTTCCTTTTCAGTTTGCATGCCTCGATTGTCCTCGTGTCGCTGCGGCGCGGAGGGCTGTACATAGCTTCCTGGACGATCCTGCAGTGCGTGATTACACGCCGCTCGATCATTTGAACTGGGCTCTGGGTCTTCCGTCCTGTGACGAGCTTCCCGAGATCCCTGCAGCTGTTGCAGACTCGCTTTGCCAGGTGCTTGCCTTCGACGGCCATGCGTTGGCCGAGTCCCGCGCTGCGAGCCTCGAGTACTGGCGGCAGCGCAAGCGCGTGCTGGACCCACTGTGGGCGGGCAAATTCGCGGGATTGCCTGCGCACGTCCGCAGTGTTCTTGGTCCGAAGAAAAATTTGCTTGTTCTGTCGGAGATGCTTGAGGCGATCAGCTGGCCCGACGACCGGCTGGTGCGCGACCTGCAGTGTGGTTTCCATGCCCCCTAAACCAAAGGTTTCGATGGGGAGGAAAATCTAAAGCCCCGCCTGATGTAAACCGGTTGGTGGATTCATCAGTTGGTGGCTTTAACCGTGTACGTAAACTCGTGGGCAGTCACGGCTTGGGCTCCCGACGGAGCAGCGGATTTCTTCCGAGGCCTGGTTGGCTCCAACTCGGAGCAGCGGTGGTCTTCGACAACTCCGGAGGCCGATCGGGGCACCGCCCGGCTCGGGGGCGGGATAGCAAGTTCCCGGCGCCACGGCCGCCGCGGAGCGAGCGCCCTGCGGGGTGCACTCGCTCCACCGGGGGGTCTTTGCAAGCCCCCAGTGGTCCACATAGTGGGCCAGGTGCTGTTCGCAGCGCCCGTGCTGTTGTTTGTCATCGCCTTCGTCTTTCGTTGCCAGGCTCGTCTGCCCGCGCTCTCGTCGCCAAGCTCGCTTGCCGCGGTCCTCGTCGCCACTCTTGGGTCCCTGGCCTTGCTGCCGCACCCTTGGCCCGTGCCCGTGCTGGCCAGTGCCTCCTTCCAGTGGGTCCCTGGCCTTGCTGCCATGCCCCGGCCCGCGCCCTTGCTGGCCAGCGCCCTTTGTCTGCGGGTCCCTGGCCTTGCTGCCATACCCAGGCCCGCGCCCTTGCTGCAGCGCCTTCCTCGTCGCAGGCCGTCCTGGTGGCCACGCTCGCCGGCGCTCCCTCGTTGCCACTCTCGCGCTCCTCGTCGCCAAAGTGCAGGGTACCTGGCCTGGCTGCCATTCTCTGGCCGGCGCCCTGGCTGGCCAGTGCCGTGCACAAGTGGGTCCCTGGCCTGGCTGCCATACCCCAGGCCCGCGCCCTTGCTGGCCAGCGCCTCCCTGGTCGCATGCTGGTGCGCTTCGCAAGCGCTGCTTGTCGTTCTGGCGCCAGCACGCCCAGATTTGCATTCTGCGCAGCATGATTTTGCACAATCTGGCGCCAGCGCCACCAGGAGTGCAATCGCAGCGAGTCCCTGCAATTGCGGTCAGGGCGCAAAAATTGCGCATTGCACTTCGAATGCGCTCATTCTGGCGCCAGCGCGCCTGGAGTGTACCTGCCCTGGCTGAAATACCTTGGCTCGTGCCCTTGCGGGTCTGATTGCCGCGCCCTGGGCCCGCACCCTCGCTGGCCAGCGCCTTCCTCGTCGTGTGCCCGCGCATGTCTCTCCTGCGATGGCTCGCCGGCCACCCTGGCAGGGCTGCCCGTTTCTCATTGGTACTGTGCTGCGCGAAATCGCGCATTCTGGCGCTAGCGCGCCAACAAGTGCTGTCTGGGCGCGACTCTGCACAGTCTCGCGCTGGCCCGCCCAGAATTGCAATCGCAGCGCGAACCTGCGTCGCGCCCGCAGCGTCCAGATTCCTGGCCCACTGCAGGCGCGCCCACCCCACCAGAAGGCGGGCAAGTAGATTTTCCGCTCGCGCGTCTTGCGTGCCATCCCGCGCTCGAGCACCCGAATGGGCTTTCTGAACGCAATTTCGCGCTGCGCCGTAACGGGCAGTTCGAGTGCAATTCGCGCTCGCGCGCCTAAGGGGCCATTTGAGCACAATTGTGCGCTCGCGCGCCGGGACGGGTGCAATCGCGCGCTCGCGCGCCCAATGGGTTATCGCACCTGGGCGTTCCGCGCGCCCGGAAATGCTTTCTGAGCTCTTTCTGCGGTCTGCGAAAGTTTGCGCTGGGCGTCCGCGCGCCTGGAATTGCCTTCTGAGGACAACTATGCGATCTGCGGCCGGGGCACACCCAGACTCGCAGTCTGAGCGCAAAGTCGCGCTCCTGGGCGCCCGCGCGCCCAGAATTGCAGTCTGTGCTCAATTCTACGGTCTTGAGCCGAGGCACGCCCAGAAATGTAATCTGAGCGTAAATTCGCGCCTGTAGGCATCAGCGCGCCCAGACATGCAGTCTGAGCTCTTTTCTGCGGTCTGGGACCAAGGCGCGCTCAGACTTGCATTCTGAGTGCAGATTCGCGCTCCTGCGCGTCCCCCCGCCCGTAGTTGCTTGCTGAGCTCATTTGTGTGGTCTTTGACCGATGCGCGCCCAGATTCGCATTCTGAGCGTGAATTCGCGCGCCTGGGCGTCAGCGCGCTCATAATTGCAGTCTGAGCTCATTTGTGCGTTCTGGCGCCGAGGCGCGCCCAGATTCGCAATCTGAGCGCCCAGGCGTTCGCGCGCCCAGAGTTGCATTCTGAGCTAATTTTTGCGTTCTGGCACCGCTCAGATTCGCAGTCTGAGCGCAAATTCGCGCTCCTGAGGACGGCTGCGCGAGAATCGTCCTGGGCGTGATTTCGCGGATCGCGCGAGCTAGAAAGAGTGGCTACGGACACTCTGGGGCACTCGGGGTCGGATGTGTGCAGGCGGCAGAAGCTAGTCCTTGATGGGGGGGCATTGGCTAACCCCCCACCTGCACACAACGGGGGCGGGAGTGCTTTGCACTTGTGCAGCACGCCCGTCCTCGACCGACCCCGGGGGGCCCGCGTCCCAAACGGCACGTAATCGGAATATCGATGCTGACGCCCTTTCACCAGAGAACTCAGAATTAAATTCTGGTGTACCTCGTGAAAATTGGGCTCAGGCCACTGGCCATTCGTTCCGCTACGGACGGATTTCTTAGGCGCAATTTTCGGGCAGTCCGAAAAATCTCAGGGCGACGACGCCACCCTGCATTAGCGTGGGATGAGCGGAAGCCCCCTCGCGTGCTGCCACTTGGCCAAAACAGGCCTCGGTACGCTGAAAATAACTCCCTACTCACTCTGGCCCGGCGGAGGGGGAGGAGCAGGGAGACCCATGTAGTTCCCCTGGCCGCTGAGCGGTCAAAGGGGTTCGACTGGGATCGGCGTGGCACTGCTGTAGCTTGCATGGTTTCGCCCCAAGGTGACCCGAGTGGCCCCCCTGGCCGCGATGGAAGTCAAAGGGGGGTCGCCAGGATGTGCGGCAGCGAGAGCTGTGCGAATTTGCATCCAGGGAAGGCGGAGCGGAGCGGAGGACTCTCTCCCCTTCCTTCCTTCGTGCTGGGGCTCAAGCGGCCGAAGTGCCGTTGCGACAGCTGGGCGCGATCGGAAAACTGGCTGCTGGACGCAGGTGGGGGGTGCTCAGGAGGCTGAAACGGTGGTGCGCCCATGTCCCACAGGAAAAATGGCCGTGTCAGTCGCGTTGCAATGGCTCCAGGCGTTCATGCATTGGCTCTTCCGGAGTCGTCTGGGCTCAGAGTGATTGGTTGCTCTTTGCGTCCACGCTCTCACACACCACCTGCTGTAGCATTCGGGGACACCGCATCATGCCTCTTGAGTCAGGAAAGGTGCAGTCTTTGATCGCTAAGGTTCCAGAAGGCAAGTGGCTGAAGTTGTCGAGCAGTGCCATCGAAGAGTGGCTCCACTTCGTTGCGGGCGCAAACGAGCCAATCAGCCACGACGAGGTGTTTTATGCCAGCGTCGCCCGAGTGATGTCCGAACAGATGGGCTCAGCAGCGCCGTCGGACTTCGCGGGCCCACAGATGCGCACTTTCATCATCGAAGGTATCCGCGCAAACACCACGCCGTTCCAAGACGACCCTGAGGGGTCGGAGTGGAAAGATGTGCGGCTCACCCCTGCGCACATCACGGCTGCTCTTAAAGTGCAAGCTCGGGCAGCAGGGTCTCAGAGCAACGGCCCGGCTGGCAGCGTTGAGCGTGGCACCGGGACCTCGCCAGAGCACCTGGCGAAGGCGATCGAGGCGCTTGCAAAGGCAACGCAAGAGCGAGACCAGCCCAAGAAGGAATACTTGTCTTTCAACTTGAAACAGCGCCTGGACGAACTCGGTCTCGGGAATCTCCCAAAAGATATGATGCCCTCGGAGGAGGCTATGATTCGGTTGGAGAAAGCCAGCAAGGTCGCAAGGGACGGGACCAGAGGCCGCCCTTTCGATTGGGGTCGCGGACACCCACCTCCAAGTCGACGTGCCCGCCGTGGTCGCGGACACCCAAGATCGACGTGACCGTCGGCGACGGCAGCTTCGAGGAGAAGCTGCGCAGCGCGGTAGAGGCGAAGAAAACGAGGAGCTTGGAGGACAGGACCACTTTTGTGGGATTCGCTACGTTCTATGGACATATCCTGGACTGGGGCGTGAAGATGGTCCTCACGAAGGCCATCACCTCCACGCAGTTGCTCGCGTACCAGATCGTACTCACCCGGGTGGCAGAAGAATGCGGCGGCTTCAGGGTGTGCACGCACTGCGATCTCTTGCTCAGACAGAAGCTCGCCCGGGAGCTTGAAAGGGACGAGCGGTCACAGATAGAGGCGCTCCTGTGCACTCTGGACCGCGACGTGCTGGCGGACGCGAAGAACAGCGCTGAAAAGCGCGTGAAAGAGACCGCGAAGGCGGCCACGAAGACAGGCCAGGCCTCTGGCTCCCAGCCGTCGCGGCCGGCGCCCGCTTCCAGCAAGGGAGGCGGCAAGGGACCCTCCAAGGGAGGCAAGCTGCCCGCCC